AATTTTGACTGTTCCATGCTTGTCCTAAGCCAATTCTTTATTCGGCGCATAGATGAAAAAGACCTTTCACAAGTAGCTGAGCTTATAGGAATAGCTAATCCTACTTGAATAAGTTTAAACAAGTTTGGAAAAACATCTTCAGTCACCACTTTCTTTATTCCAAGTACTTATATCAAAATCCAAATTTCCATTTTGTAAACAATTTTTTGTCAGCAACATTTCTGCTTTCAATGATGTTAAATCAATATTCACAACATCCTGAAATTATATTATCCTCACATGATTATTTTATTTACAAAATTAACCTACATTACATTAATCACAACAATATATTATATACATGGTTGTTAGGTACCTTTTTATAGTTATTATGAATTCAATTAATGAGTTATTATTATTTAGTTTATAAATACATTACTAGTTACAAACCTTGTAGTGATTGATGAAATATGAACCTTTTTCAAAATCCATTTTCATAAACTGGTCTAATGAGTTAGCTAAAACTAAACTTTCATCCGAAAAACGGTATTTTATATTAATATTTATTATTATTATTATATAAGTCAAATACTCAAATCTTAGAAATTAATTTATCCTGTTGTCTATGACATAATACGTGTATAACCAATAACAATTAAATGATGCTGTTGAAAATTTGGGGGGTGCTAATATGAATTTTGGGGGTGCTAAGCACCCCCAAGCACCCCCCAAATTGCGCCTATGTTTATTGCCCACATGTTTATACATTACCTTCGTATCATTATATACCTTATATACCTAATTAATAATTATCGACGTAGCAACGTATATTTAGGTATATGTAACGCTGCGCAGCTGGTCATCTGTCGTCTGTCGGATGAGAAGGGCGACCGTAAAGTATAATAATAATATCGTAACTCGTAACCCCGTCGGGGATGATATATGCGACCTCAAATTGACCTATGCCTGTGCTCAACTATAAATGTGCGGAATATGACTCCGAAATCGATCGTATAAAAGCATATTTTTTGATGGAGTTGACCTGTGCACGTTTCGCTGTCACAGCGTCAGATCACATCGTTTCGAATATATAATATAGGTGTAGCAGTAGAGCGAGTGGATCGCAATAATAATAATAATAAGAGTTCGAAACCGCGAAGTTAGAGCACTCGAAATATGCCTTGAAAAAGACACGAGCGATGAGTTAAGAATTGACGGCATTGCGTCGGCCTTGAAACGGAAGGGGAAAAAAAACAGAATCCCGTTCGAACGGTCGTCGACGACCCTCGCCCTACTACGCGAGTAGACAACAAATATAAATGGGGTCAACGCGGGTCGGACGGGAAGTGAGAGTACACCGCACATACTGCACTAATGTCGATCGGGATAATGTTATATTCGATCACGTTAGCTGGTTTATAACAGTGTGTCGTCTAGGGTGGTATATTATATAGCAATGGTCTCCGGCAAGCGTATATAATAATAATATTTTCGATACCACGCTGTATACTACACTATATACACACCATATTGGTAGTGTATACGAGATGATTATGCACAATAAATTAATAAATATTAAAAGTCGTGTGTGCGTGTCGCACTCGGGGGAAACTGCTGCACATGACCCCCCTCCAGAAACTACTCGGATCTTCGGAGGACAGGGATTGAGAATAAACAATTCGGAACTATACACGATATTTTGTATCGAGTGAGTACGTGACGCCCGACGCATCCAGTTTTTTGTGTCCAGGAAAAGTCTTCTCTTACTCGTGCTGCACAATATACAGCTGATACATTTAGGGCCCGGATTTCTGTGCAAAGTGTATTATTTTTTGGTTGTTTAGGAACAATGCATTCCAAGTACACAATTCGTAATGCGTACTCGAAGCAATAACAATTGATTTGTTGGTCAGTTGAAGATACACCGCGACCGCGTTTATTTCCAGTACACTGTTTATATTTTTAATGTGCTCGCCTATAAGTTTGGCATTTTGTTTCTGTATTATTGTTGGTGCGGTCGAGACAGAGAAGTGTTACAATTTCCGAAAGTTAAACCGTGCTTGCGTGCCTATATATAAACGAATCGTTTGTAATTTTTTAATGCGTTTTCGGTTATATTTTCGAGCGACTTCGAGACAGCTCATAGGGCATTTGCCCTACACGTAATAATATTGTAAAGTTAAGTCAGTGACGAGCGAGCTCGAGATCCGCGGGCGCAGAGAACGGTTTGCGTTGACGGTTTGCCAAAACGAAACCAACCGTCAAGGTCGTGGCGGCGCGGCGAGCATCGAAGAGCAGAGTCAAACGCGGCGGAGAGGAGCGGCGGCGGGGACGGGGGGGGAGAGACCGAGACGGGCAGATAAAAAACCGCGAGCGCGACTTTGCGTCGTACGCGATATTATTACGATAATAATAATTAAAAGATCTCGCCGCAGTCGTCGTCGTCGTCGTCGACGTTTTTTGCCAAAGCGCATACACTCGAAAAACGTGCATCCGATATAATAATAATATTAATATAAACGCACACCTATTCCAAGTACGAGCGCACACCAACACACACGCCGAACGGTGCGCACACACACGACGACGACGACATTATAACCGGTTCACCTTGACGTCATCGCGCGTAGAGAGCTGCCGACGCCGTCGCTGCGAGATTATACATTTATATTATATTATTACCCGACAAACCGTATAATGCCATAATCGTGCCGTTTATCGCGAGTCCGTTTTTATTTTTCCCATTTTTTTTTTTTTCCGTTTGACGACGACAACAAACCGTTTACATAACTACCATATTACTATAGGACATGGGTACACTGTTGATTTGGGCCACTTCGATTGTCATGAGTTATGTCTTCCGTGCCAACCCCTTGTTGTCTAAGGACGACATCCCAAGCTAGAAAAGCCATGAAGGTCACAGCGTGTGACCGATGTAGTACAAAAAACGAAATAAAAACACTACGAATGTTCGTTTTTCTAGAAAATAATTTTAATAAAATTTTTTTTCATAAATAAAACATCACTTAGTCAAAAAAATCACACAAAAGCCTTAACGATAAAAATAATCTTAAAATCACAATAATCATTTGCACACAATACATTTTTTCATAATTTACACTTACATTAATAAATTAAAATATCTAATATAAGATACAGTTATATAAATTCATATAATCAAAAATATATTATCAATGATTTTTCAATATTTTATAAACATAAGAATAAAAAAAATTGCTTTGTTACACTCAAGAGCACCTAGGAACATGACTGATACACTTCAAGTTGTCTGCAAAAAGGGCGGAGGGTTGACAAAAGTTAAGTCCAGTCAATACAAATGAATATTAATAGATATACAATAAAATATTATTTTATAAGTATAGCTTTACAAAAAAAATTACATCTAATTATTAACTTTGGCCTATTTATTGTCTGGTAAAAAGCTTAAAATATCAGTTAAGTTATTGCATTGTTAACATGTACCCTTTATTAGGTACATAAAAATAGTTTAATCTATAATGGTGAAGGAGATAAACTTTAAATATACATATAAAAAGGCAACACTGGTGTTTTCTCGTAACAATTTCATCGTAGAATTTCGTTAAGAACATTAAAAAAAAAAAATATATATATTATAATATAAAAATATTTTGTGCATTTCAATAAATTTATAAAAAACATTCTTGGAATAAGGTATCTTTAGTACTCAATAACATTTTGAGCATAACATGTACAATAATTTATGGCTTGCGTACAATTAAAAGGCATCAAGTGCAAAATTATTCTATTGCTACTAATTTATTTTGATAAGTTAATAGTTAATAATATTAAAGGTCCATACATACTACTGCGGTAGATGGTACCGATAAAACCACAAGCACAATGTTATTGTTACTGTGACCATATCAGCACTGTGCCAATCTACTGCAGCAGTAAGTATGCACCTATATTCAGAATAAATAATACCACGATACAGAGTAAATACAAAATAATAGACAAGTTAAATAAAAAAGTATGATAACCTAGTAATTGCACGTTCATAATACATAAATAAATAAATAGGTAATTGTCAATTGATTTGATTTTGTTTTTAAATTACAATTCAATGAATAAATCATAATAATGTACAATAGTATATACCATTACATACGTTAAACATATAAAAAGAAATTTATTAAAATAGGCTACAAAGAAATTGAGCAATTTTTGAAGCAATAATATCGGTTCCTTAAAAATTTTGTAGAAAAAATATGAAAAACTCACAGACAGGCAGGAAGTAGCACCCAAATTCAGGATGTTTTCGATAAATTCAACTGTGTTCATTATTAACTGTAAATGAAAAGAAAACATATGTTATTAACTTATTATTAATTAATTATTTCTTGTGCCTAAATAACAAACTAATATTAGGTAGAAATTTAATTTATATTTCAATTTTCTGTTAGTGTATCTAACAATAAAGAACTTTTAAAGTTTGTTTTGCCTGATGCAGACAAAATAATAAAAATACAGGTTAGGTGGTTACAGGTAACCAATTAACTATTAAGTATTTTGTTCACTTATAACTTAATTTTTATATTATTTATTAATATAAGTAGGCATTCTACTCAGTACTCATATTATCAAAATAGCTTTTAATTTATTTGGAAAAGTGTAAAAATAATTTTAGGTAGGGATTTAGGTAGAACTTCAAGTATACTAAAATCAGTTAAATACCCACATCATTAAATTTAGTAAATAGACTACCTATTGTTATAATGTACCAACATATTTAGTTCCTTATATACAACAATTGATATTTAACTGGACAAGTGAATAATTAAAAAAAATATTTAATAGATATCCCAGTACATACTTAACTAAAAAAAGAATTAATTAAAATATTTATTTCAAGCGAAACAGGTTAACTCAAAACAATGATTAATAGTTTGCAATATTGAGAAAACAAACAACTTATTTGAGTAAAAAGTTAAAATAATTAGGAAGTTTAGTAGGTATAATAATGTTTATGAACTTACAGGTCACAGGCAGTTGACTGCAAATTCACATCCATTATGCATGTGTTCAACAACGGTTTGTTTTAATTGACATATCTGCTCCAAGAGTCTGTTCAATACTGTGGTAAGTTCAGTATTTTCATTTTTCAGTACTTTAACTTTATCCTCTAGCTTGGCAATACGTTCCAATTTTCTTCGGCGGCATTTGGATGCAGCCACTCGGTTCCTTTGTCTTTTCCTTTCGAGTTTAATTTTTTCTTGGGATTCCATGTTGATTGGTGACATGGGTGGTGATGAAGACGTGACACTGGGTACAGTTTGAGGTTCTTCTTTGATAACATGTTGAGGTATAATATTGGAAAAGTCGTTTGAAGTCATCAACACAGAGTACTGGGGTTCTGATTGGTATTCCGAAGAATTACTACCACTGCTGGTCATTGGTATTTCTACTTGAGTGGCACTGTTAGAATCGTTGTTGTGGTGTAGGCATTTGAGCGCTTCGACAAACGGTTGTACATACATTTCTTGTTCCTCGGTCACAGACTTCGGAAACAGAGACGGCGTGGGTGTGCTTATATGGCCAAGGGCGGCTTGTTGGGATAAGTAGTACCGTTCCAATTCGGGAGAGTTGAACTTGAGCATGCGTAGGTCGGGCGACGTCAACATGGGTGGCAGGAGTTTCAGTTTCTTAGCTGAGTTTTCGTTATTGCAAGAGTTCAAGTCCAACGTCATCGGTCTCTTCAGGAAGTTGACTTCATTAGTGTGGCTTTCGACTTTGGTGATGAGCGGATCGTCGTAGAACGCTTCGTCCAACATCATGCAGCTGGACGAGTTATTTACCATTTTTGTTACCTACTATGACACAAGTGTCCGCTTTTACCGACCTTTTAGCTTTTTCCGCACACGATTTTTGGAGCACCGTGTGATATTATTATTTATTATTATTTTTATAAGCTAAATACAAAAACCAACTAGTTTATAGTATATAAAAAAAAAAATTAAAAAATAAAACGTAACGACAATAGAATAAATGTGTGCGGTGTGATAACACGGTGCGTATAAAAAACAAACGATCCAGTGATTAATCGCGGCGGATAACTGAGCGCGAACGACACGACGGAATGGCACACGGTACGCGAATGAATGAACGTTGGACGGCAGACCGCTCGGGCCCCCCCGATGTGGTCGGCGATGAGTCATCGCGTTATTTTCGGAAAGTAGTAAAGTACGTCATTTTCTGGCGTTCCCATTGGCCCGCCGGTCGACAGTGTCGACACATAGTGGACGCGGAATCGTAGAGACACTTAACCGCTACCACCTCCACCGCAGTTCGTGACGGACATAGAGCGGCGGCGGTGGTGGTTAAGCGGTTACGCGATACGTGCCGGCCGATAACGCGTGCGAGAAAAGTAGTATACTTTAGAGATGGGACTAGTCGTTCACTTAGGTGAACTAGTTCGTTCGTTCTTCGTTCACCAAATTGAACTAGTTCAGTGAACTAGTTCACTGAACGATCAAACTGAGCGATTGAACTATACGTAAATGAAACTAGTATTTCACTGAACGATCAAACTGAACGACTGAACTATACGTAAATGAAACTAGTTCACTGATAACACAGTACATTAGTACAATAATCCGAGTTCCTAACCTTAAATCGTTCTAGTAGTGAACGAAAACGGAAATTCGTTCACTAGTCACTACCGTTCGTTAACGTCTTAGTAGTTCGTAGTAGTGAACGACGAACGTATAAGATATACCCGGTTACCCGGTATACAGTATACAGTGTAAAATGAACGATGAACGATGAACGACGTCGTTCATCTAATGGTGAACTAGTTCGAATCGTTCACTTTGGTGAACAGTTCAATTGAACTAGGTCGTTCACGAACGACACATCTCTAGTATACTTGTCTATGACGACAATCCCGAAACGGATTTCGGATACTTTGATCGTGATGAAATCTGAAAATTATATAATTCCAGTGGTCTATTTCCATGCCCCCGCTCTTATTTGTAATCGTTTACTTTACGCACTTGTTGAACTTCGATCATTATGAACAAGTAAGGACGTAGGGCTAGGATTTTGAAGCAAAATAAAGGGTTTATTATTGCCGAAAAAAAAAATATATTTATCTTGAACATAGAAAATGGAAAAATATGACTAGGCACCGCAAAATACATACGAAATAAAATTACTTATTATTTGATTATTTTCATTGAAACTTATAGACTATTGCGGGTATTTGGGAGCTATAAAAATTGAAAATGGTTATATATATAGCTCAAAAATGATCAAACTATTTTGAAAATTATACCATGTAAAATAAATGCTATTCATCAGCTTTTGGTGAAATTTTAAAGTACCAAGTACGTATCACTGTTATTCGTGTATGAATAAATTACAACAAACTAAGGAAATAGAAACTGTAGGTATTGCATATAGAAATTCCCTTTGTTCCATAATTCTTTTTCCCAATTATAAAGAAAAAGTACTGTACAATTTTTTCTTTTAACCCCCCTTACCCCAACAAGATACCAACTTGAACCATGAATTTATTCAAATTCTTATTTTTGGAACTTTCAACCATCTGAAACATATTTTTGTTCCATTTGAGGGTGGCCTGTGGTGTTATCCAAAAAATTTTTGTCATATGACACTTACCTTTTTTACTGTTTATTTTTCATTGAATTTTTTTAAAATTTTTTTTAAAAATTCTTGTAGGCTACCTATACCTACTTATGACTTAACTAAATCAAATTTTGAACGAGTAGTTTCTGATTTTTAAAATATGTAGTATGTATTACCTATGTATAGGTAGTATTGTTAAAAATAGCATTATGAAAATATAAAATAGGTAAGGTTAGGTACCTATAGGTATATGGCTATATATTATATAAATATAAGATGTAAACCGATGCCCGATGGAGATTAAACTATGATGAGCGATTGCCGACGATTAGTATCCTATTTATTAAAGAGTCGAATTGTACATTTATACCCATCTATTGAAAGAATAACAATTTTATTTTTTTTTTTGCAATCGACCCTTGTTAAACTATATGGGCACATATCATTATATACCTATCTTTTATTTTTATCCCAAATCTGATATTGTGATATATTATATTTAATACTTAGGTACAAACATGATGACTATAACATGTTATGTGGCCATGCGGGGCATTGTATAGTTTATAACGACCTCACCTACTTTAGGATCGGATTTTTATGCCTTATAGAAATCTTTATAATATAATAAATATCACATATTATGCATTACAAAAATGAATTATTATTATTTATTTATATGATATGCAATAACAAAATGAATTCTTTTATCCCAACTAAATTAACAAACTGTTATGGTACGAATAAATAATTTTCTGGTTCGATTGTTTGTGCTGAATTTCAACTTCAAATGCAATGAATATGGTGGATATAGGTACCTACCCCCATCAAAAATTATTCGGTAATCGAATATGGTAACGTACTAACCTATACAATATTTTACTATATACCTACCTAATACCTAATGGCTGAAGGCGGGTTTCCACCATACACGTATGCGTGTACGTGCATACAAATCCTTAGCTTGGTTGGTTAGGATCAGTTACCATACGATTAACCACGATACCGTGTTGTTGGACATAGCTGAACATTTTTCGTGTACACGGAAAATGAGTTTAGTGGAAACCCTCTTTAATACTTACTGGCAACTGTGTAAAATAATATTGTGGCCCGTAAGAAACACTTCGGTACCAGCTATTGCTAAATTTTTAAACTTATAAAGTAACATTGTAACAAATATTATTAACTATGAATTATGATACTATATATCAATATAATATATTATATATTCATATAGTATACAATATACATGTACCCATACAGCCAATGGTCATATTATATACCTACATATTGGAATTTGGAATTTTGGTTACATGGTAATACATATAATATAGCCATATAGGCTATATCTACTGCTATAGCACAGAATAAAACAATTATTCTATTATATTATTGTGAATAAAGTAATTTATATAATATAACCTATTTACGTGGAACCTTGTTTTAAATTGCCAATCCTTATGGATCCTTAGGTATTAGTTACATTTTATACATTTTTAACTACAAAATAATTATTGAATTTGTAATAAATTTTGTAAAAATTTGAGCTTTAAATGATTATAAAAAAAATTGTGCCTATGTATTTTTAATATTTTTCAACTGCTATTGTAACAATATATCAGAAGCTTTGCATTACATTTTCACGCTTTTTTACCAAACAAATAAAATTTTATGAATATTCATCGAAAAAAAAACTAAAAAAATTGGAAACTGAAAATGTCCGAAAACAGCTCAAAATATGTCAAAATATTTTGAAAATGTTATGGTGTATACAAAATGCTTATATAAACATTCAGTCAAAATTTCATGTATCTACGGTCATGGGTTTTAGAGTTACACCAAAAACCAAAATCAATTATGTGGAAAACCGATTTTGCTTCAAAATCCCCATTTTTATTTTATTTTTTTTTGAAAATTACTGGGATTTTTAAATTTTGACCTACCCAATGCACCAACAATATTCACTTTCCTATCGAAGCATTATTTTGACCACTTATCGTGTACACAGACATAAAAATAAATAGAAAAAAATAAATAATAAAAAACAAAAAAAACACGACACACCATCATTGTAAAATCAATACATTCATCGTTCCACTCAGAATCTAAAATTATTCAAATACATGAGTAATGAGTATAATACATTTTACTGTAGCTATATTCAGTATTATACGATATAAGCACTGTTCTGTGATTGCCTAGGTGCCAACCAGGTAGGTTATACACCGCACACTCAATAAATAATTCATTAGCGCAAATAGAGTTACATTTTAGCCCTTTTTAGGGGCTGCAAAAATTATGTATCCTTATCTCACAAACTCGTTATATTTGGTTACCTATTAAATGAGTGATTTCGCCAAAATCTGAACTTAAAATACCAATAAAAAACACTTTGTGTATGTATGTTTTTTTGGTAACAGAATCAACTACTTACTTGGTACCTTGTTTTAAATGTCTAATCCTTAGCTATAAATTTGAACATTTTACACATATTTACTACAAAATCATTTTTTTCAATTATAACACAACATAATATTTAATGTATATTGTATACATAAATTCATCTATTTATGTGGTATATTTTAGCGAAGTTTATGAACCACAATTCAACTGTTGTGAACATTTGTAGGAGGAAACTATAGTATATATTAAATTCCTAACTACCTGATTAACGGAGTCAACTAGTCTATATTAAACTTTTTATTTACAATAAGCATGGGAGGAAACTGGATAAAAAAGTGAAATGATTGTATAAAATTTGCAAGTTGTAGATACCAATTGATATATTGTTTTTAAATAATATGCCACCCTTCTTTGAAATTTTCAAGTACACCACTGTCAACATAATATCATTATGTATACTAGATTCAATAATTTTAAAGAAACTTCAACACTAATATTTGTTATAATTATACCTACATTAGGTAGGTACATCTACTTACTCATAATAAATAAGATGATAATTATAATATAATCATTGGTATAGGCTAATAAAATATATAGGCAGGGGTGCTTTCGCCCCACAATACATTCATGGTCATACAGACTATTATTCCTAGACACGCCTATGCGTATACTATTAGGTTTATCTATCGGAATTTGGCTATCAATGTATATAACATTGTCCATTGAAAACACATTCTGAATTTTTTCAACAACACATTTTGGATTAGTTTGAAATTAATATAAGATAGGAAGCTAATAGAAATGGTTTTGTTTTCGATAAAGATATTAAAAAAAAAAATAGGGCTACCTATTTGTGCTCAATTCATTTAAGGTACCATTGCAAGATACAAATTTGCAAACTGTTCACATAATATATAATATAATAAGCTAAAGAGTTAAGTTATATGCGTTTTGAACATTATCTTATTATTATTATAGTTCATAATTTCTTATCCTCTGTAGTATACTAGTATTAAATCAATACTATACTAAATGCACACAATAATATAATAAAATACCTAGTATGAAAATATAAATGATTTCTTTTAGAATTAATAATAATACAATATTACATTGTGAACGATAGCGACATGAATCATGATATATACACAGCAATTAGATATTATATATATTTTTTTTAACTAAATGAAGCTTTAAAAAATTCTAAAATTTTATACATATAAAAAGAATCAATTGTCTTATTTAGCATAACAAAAAATAAGCGTAGTTTTAAAACATACCATTTGTGTGAAAAAAAACTAATATTGTCAATTTTTAGCTGATTATAGAGTATATACATTTTTTGTTAGTTATTTTAAGTAAACCACATAAAAGAAAAAACAAAATTGTGAAAAAAAATTATTGTTTTGTTTACTGTATAAGAAAATCAAATTACAACGTGGTAATGTTTTTATTGAATAATATGGATTAAAAAATTAATAGTGTTTGTTACTAGTATAATATTATCAAACATCTTCTAATAATCACTTTCACAAATTTTCATTGTGTACACTTGATAAAAAATAATATACTTGATAGTTAACATTATATTATTAGTTTAACTGAAGTGATATAAAATAAAATATGAGCCTTACAATCAAAAATAAATTGATACATTTTGTAACTCATGCCTATTTGAATGATTTTTCAAGTTGTTTCATCTTTCATAATTTTTAGATTGATATTATATAACCTATTATCATTAAAATATTAATATACCGTGTGTAACAGAAAGAACTGACCAAAAAAAAAAAAAAATTGATGCTACTTAAATGTATGACAAAAATTGTTGAAATTATATGATTAGTAAATAGTTTTAAGAATATACCCATGTTATAAAATTTCCAAAAATAATATTTTTAAAAAAGCTATTGCGTTCCAAATTTATTTTATCAAAAAAATATTGATATTTAAAAAAATTCTAAAAAATAAACTACTAGACTTAGATAAATGTTTTTACCATCCAAATCGTTCTTAAAATCAGATTCACAAGTTTGCTATTTTGAATTTATTCAAAAAAATTTAAGTCAAATTTAAAATTTTTTATTTTTAGTATAAAAAAATAAAAATAATTTTTTTCCTCTTACACGTGTAGAACAAGTGGCTATAAATTATATATAAAAAAAAAAAATTAAAAATAATGATCATAACAAAAGTTATTCCAAAAGTCAGTTCTATCTGTTACACCCTGTATATACAGACAAATTTTAAGATTGGGGTATAATAATTATTCAGGTTGAATTGGTTAAATCAAACAGATACAAATCTACATGTAACAAGATATTATATATTATAACTATGTAAATGTTGGGTCCACAGAAATAAAAAATAAATAATAATTCACAAAAGATAAATGTTTTAAAACAACAGCATTTATCTTCCCTGTGGGGACTATTGTCACTCTGCTTCTAGACACAGACTATATCCAGTCTATTAGTTGTGTCATAGATTAAATATACATAGATAGCCAACGGCTATGTAGAATTTGGAAACAAAAATTTGGGGACAATAGATGGCCCTGCTAAAAGTTTTCTACATAACATCATAGCATTGTACCCAAGAATCTGTAATCGACGACTCAACCCGAGCCATGTACTGTCACAAAGAACATGATTTCCAAATTCCACGCAGCCGTTGGCTATCTATGTATGTTTAATCTATGGTTGTGTCTGGGCGCTGCAAGGAATATATTATATTTTAAGAAATTAAATTTTCTATAAAACATTTTCAAATTTAAATTATTTCATATAGAATTTTTTTTTTTTTTTTCATTGTTTGTTTGAAACCATTAATGTAGTTAAATAACTTATAACAGCTTTAACTTAATATTTATGAATGAATCAACCGAACATCAGATCATTTCATATTGTTTATATTTCCATTAATTAAATTCATAATGTACGTTTTTTTTAAAAAAAAAAGACAAAAAATAAATATACATAAGAAATAATATTACTCTTTTACATTAACAATGATTTTCTGTTCAATATTATCCTTGGTAATTATTGGCAATTCTTGTACACCTCCAGCACAAGATATTTTAACTTTAAATTTGGGCATGTTGATGATACATCGTTTTTGTACTTCTAATATGCATTTTTTTAGGAGATCGTATGCTTCTTGATAATTTGCATCTAAAAATAAAATGTATAGTTAATAGTTATCATTTCAACCTAAGAAATTATTTATTGTACCTATTGCTTTACTTAAGCTAGTAACTATTACATATTATTATACCTATTACAAAATATAAATAATTAAATTGAATTTTGTTTTTCTATTTAAAATTCAGTATCTTCTATAATTTATCAAAGTTGTTTGATAATCAGATGTATTATAGTCTATAGAGATGTAGATATGTGATTTATACAATTATAAATGTTATTTAAAAGCAATAAATTCAAGATAGATTTGTTATACACCCAAATTAATTCTTAATATTTTGTTTTTATAAACATGTTTTATGAGCTTAACTTATTAAAATATAGTCAAAATAAGAAACAATAGTTTGTGAACATTTTAAACACACTTATGTGTGATGCACTGATGCTATTGATTACAGAAAAGAAATCTCCAGTATAAAATTAATCAATTAGTAGTATTACAATGTAGCAGTGTCAAAATAATAACAAACCTTTTTAGGATGTGTAATAATTCAATTTTTAAAATTTAACGAATTATAAAATAATAATACCATTATACTTAACTATATTATATTTTATTATTAAGAGGGCTGGAGCGTGATTAATTTTCGGTCGAAAACATAGCTCACGACTTCAATCACTAAGCCTAATATAATGTTCTGATATTAATTTTGATAGCAGATTTGAATTTGTTACTAAATTATCTATTTCATTTTTCTGATTTTTTTTTTTTTAACTTAGAAATTTACTAACAAAAAGAGTAAAAATAGATTATACTCATAATTGAAATTGAAATACATTGATATAGAATATGAAAAATGTACGACAGTCAAAGCATAGTAAATTTATAGGAGAATTCAAATTTGCTTTCAAAATTTAAATCGGAACATTCTACTGAGCGTAGTGATTGAAGTCGCTTGCAGTGTTTTTTGAAAGAAAATTTTGGTTATTTTATAAAGTAATAAGTGGTGACATGTAGGTAAAATGACATACGTATTATGATGCACCTATACAACGTGATCGGTACTACGAATTACACACACTAATGTTCATTTACTTTCAACACATTCACAAGACCCATTTGACTTGAAATATGAAACGCCTAATTTTTACTCCTTTGAATTGATTATGCTCCAGCCCCCTTAAGATCATTTATTAACAATTAGGTATTATTTAGAAAGTTTAAAAAAAAATCAATTTTTTTTTTCAAGTGAGGGTTTATTTTTCTAAAGACTATGTGACATAGTTATAGAGTTTAAGCTATTAAATATAATATGGTTAGTTTAATATTTCTCACTTATAATTTGTATGCAATTATTCATTTAGCTAGCATATTTCCTCTAATAACGGAAGTTTCAAATTGTAAAAGTAATATAAAAACTTGACAAACTGCCAATAAGGTCATCATACAGCCCAATTATATTTTATATTTCTTCTCAAAGAACAAGTCCCCAATAATTCCTTAATTATTCCGCAATTCTGTGTAGTTATAATAACTTCATTATAAGTTTATTATACAACAGTTGTAGATTGTTCAAATCAAAGAAAAATCTACACATGATGTCTTCTCAAATCATTAATATATAACGTAATCATATCTATATCATACCGTATTGCAAACTGTGACATCAGAACACAGAATTTTTGAAATTAATAAAATTGTTTGTGGAATATCTGAACACTGCCATATAGTAAAAGGTTAGTGTTTATAATGTATATTCTTTTAGAATATAATTAAAAAATTTATTACTAATATTTGTTTTTTTTACAATACTTAAAATTATTTCAAAAATAAAATTTGTTTTAAATTTATTATAATTACCTGGTTTGTAGTAACGGTCCATAACTGTGATTGTCATCATACCACCATATCCATGAGCACCATAAGGAACATCAACCTGAGCTCCCAAATAATCAATGAAGTATAAATGTGATTTTTTCTCAGTTGGATTATATCCTCCGAGCATGAAGTTTACTTGATAAGGACTCTACGCACAGATAATCAAATATTTATATTAAATCAAAAACCAAATTATAAAATTTAAATTATGTCTAAGTTAAGTACTTGTTGACTATGAGCAGGCTTAGGGACTTATAGCTCTAAAAAATACACAAATATGCTGCTAAAATCATTGAAATATGCATTTTAATAAGCATTTATATGCATTAAAAAAAAAAAAAATTGACCACTAAATCTTGGTTAGTTTCACTTTTAACTTAAAAAAGTTATTAGTTAAAATTTATATATAATAATTAATAAATAATTAACAATAACAAAAAATTATTAATCAAAGACACAACTTTTATAATTGAATATACAACAACTAAATTTGAAAAAATAAATATTTACCTTAAAATGTTGAAAAATTAAACCGAGAATTAAATATTTATAATTAATAATCAATAAATAATAGTTATACAAAAAAATTACAATATTTTTAAAAGGCATAACTTTTGGCAAAAACAACGACGGATAATAATCGACTGAACTGAACACTGAACAAATAATCTATTATTGTATATCAACTATTATCTTTATTGACATCCAGTTGATATCTAGCGGATTATTCGGTCGATACGGGTTTATATTATTATTTATACTTACAAAAAATTATAACGAGATATGAGAGGTAGTTTGCAGATACCATATTACTGGAAGTATTAATACATTTTTTTTCGATCGGTTGAAATATGTATATATAGTTTTTAATTTGAAATTTGAAAAATTTGTCAAAATATGCAAAATAAGCATAAAAAATTTAAAATATGCACTTCCTGCAAAATCTATCAAGTCTGCAAAAATATGCACATTCAAATTTTAGGTCTGATATCATGGCATCGAGGAACGAATTTATTTCCACTCTGCTATATTTAACAATAATTTAAAAAAGTATGCTAATGCTAGAAGTCCTTAAGCCTAACTACCTATGGTCTATGAGTTATAACATTTGAGTACATTTCCTCAATAATAAATAAACAAATAAAAACTTAATCAACGTTGCTCAATCAAACAATTACTTGGCTTCTAAGGTGTTCAGCAACAGTTTTACGAGTGAAAGTCGCAATCGCCGGAATGGACAAATCATATCCATTACGCATGCGGTAAAGTTTGACGTTTTGAGTGATGTACTCTGCAAATCTAGGTACATCACCTGCTTCACCTGTGACACCCATCACTACATTGTTGGTGATGTTGTACGTTTTGTCTTCATCTACATAGCAAAAAGATTTTGTCTAAGTGGTGTAAAGGTACAGGTAGGTAGAATACTATAAAAAATTAGTTTCATAAAATATGAATTACCATCTTTCATGACCATAATACTGTGGGCAGCCGTCATGTCGGTGGCGATGAGCACGAAATCATTGAACTTTATTCCAATAACGGTTTCCATTTTGAAGCGGTCGGATTTTAAGTTTCTTTAAACAATTTAAATTTTTATACTTAATAATTATTACGTCTGGGTAGTATACATGTACAAAGTATAAAATATAAATGTATAATGTGTAATGTGTATTACTATTGTATAAAGATAAAATGATTGAGCGGTTTTTTCGTTTCAGTAACGTTGAAAACAAATGAAGTCGTCACTAACATCATCCACACGGTTATGATAAGAATAATATCATAATCACAGTCTTTAAACAGCGGCCATTCGTTGAAAATAATATGGTCATGGTTGTAAACAAACAACACTGGCGCACACGAATAATCATCACACTCTCGTTATCATTTTTTAAGGCCAGTGGTGAGTGGTCGGTAGTTTGTTTTTTTACTGCATGTTGTGGTTCGCGCCGACTGTTGAAATAGCTTCGAAATAGTTTTTTCGAATTGTTGTGTGTTTATCGTATTAAAAATATTTCGGCTTATAGATCAGACCGAAAACATGTCAGAAAAAAGAGAACGCGAAGATGACGATAAAAGCATTAAGAGCAATGCGTCCGAAGAAGACGAAGACGAATGCGTAGGTCCCAGTTTATCTGAATTGACGGATACCGTCGAGAAAAAGAAAAGAAAAAGTAAGTTTTTATTTTAATATGAATTACAATTAAGTTGATAATACCTAAGTCGTCATGTTTATAACCAAAGCCCTTAGGTGCTTTGAAATAAGTCATGTTAATATTTTAACTATTAATGTTTCATCCTTTAATATAGTTCTAAAATATGAACATTTGTACTTGGAAAACTTACCAACATGTGATACATATGAAAAAAGCTACATGCATCGAGATGTTATTACACACATCATAATCACTAAGTATTTACTTTGACATGGTTATTTAAAATTGGAATATCAAGTTAAATGCATTATTTTTTTTTATTTCAGAACTGACTTTTTAATAACAGCAAGTTGTGACGGACATGTGAAGTTTTGGAAAAAAACCGAAGAATTGATTGAATTTGTAAAACATTTCCGTAGTCATCTTACACCAGTAACTGACATAACAGATAATTATAATGGAACTCTAATGTGTACAATATCATCAGATCAAACAGTCAAAGTTTTTGATGTCATTAATTTTGGTACTTCTAAGTTATTTGATTTACCTACCTAATATATATTTGTAATTGTCATGTGTCTATTCAGTTCTAAGAAGAACATTTTCACTATTTTTGTCTTTTTATAAATTAGTATAGTTACTCTTATTACTTGTTTATGTTAGTATTATAATCAATTTTATCTCTACAGATATGATCAACATGATAAAATTAGATTATACGCCACTTAGTGCATGTTGGGTGCATTCAAAAGGAGATCCAATTCACACAGTTGCCATGTGAGTATTAAGTACCTAAGTTTTGTACTTCAATGTTTTTAATTTGTTTGTTAAGTAGTTAATGAAGTTGAGAAATAAGTTTTATATCTGCTCAGAAGTAAACATTTTATTGTTTTTTTTTAAATAAAATGCATAAACTATAGTTTTGATGTTATACATTATATTTATAAACAAAAAGAAAATGTAAATTAACAATGCACATTTTTATAATATAGAAGCAGTGCAACTGAACCAAAAATATTTATTTATGATGGAAAAGGAGTAAATATACCACTTCATGTAATCGAAAAAATTCATACCAAACCGATTGTATTTATTAAGGTAAACATATAATTTGAAATGTAAATTGTAATTATTTTTCTTAGCTTGTGACTTGTTTAATCACAAGTAAAATTATTATTCATTTATACATTTGAGTAAAATTTAAAATTTAAATGGTTTCAGTTTAATTCTGTGTTTGATGTGGCCATATCAGCAGACAAGAGTGGCATTATTGAATATTGGTCTGGAGCTAAAACAGATTATAGATTTCCAAAGTGTGTACAGTTTGATTCTAAGCTTGACACTGATCTCTTTGAATTTGTCAGACATAAAACACATCCAACCAGCTTATGTTTTTCAGATGATGGTTTAAAATTTGCTACCATGTCACCAGATAGAAAGGTGAAAGATTTAATAAAATATATATACTTAATTATAATTAATAATTATATTAATAATATAATATATAAATACTATACCTATTATATTATTGATTTATATTATAAATTTTTTATACTTTGAAGTTAAAAGTTTTTCAAGATTTTTTATTTTATTAGTGTAATAGTATATTGTGTGGCAAGGCCGGGAAGTGAGCTATTAAAGCCTCAGGCAAGGGCCATATTTCGCCCAAAACTGAGATTACCTTCCCTCACGAGCCACAAATATTATTTTTTGTCACGCCTCTGAATTCATCGATCACAGCAAAGGTAATGCAGGGATCAATATGTAACATCTAGACTATAATTATATGACAACAGTATATTTCATGAAAGAAACGATTTGGTTTTATTTATTTTAAGCGTGACACATGGAGGTTATAATATGATTATAAGATGTAATCAAAAGGACAACTGTGGTATATATTTCAGTCTGTTTGTGCACCCTGGTGAGCGCAGAACTTTTGGTTAATTCCACTTTACCGCCCGCTGGACGGAAAAAGGACGCTTTCCAACGCTTCAACCGTTATCGAAAACCAAACTTCTTTGCAGGCGTGACAAAAAATTTGTTTAATGTCAAACGTTAGTGACTATTTATACATATTCATGTTTTGCATCTCATTAAATTTTTATGTTTATGAAATGAATAATTTCATTACAATTCATATATTTATGTACTTAAAACGAATGAAGACTAGTTCTACATAGTAAACTTGAAGTCGCTATTACTATTGTGAGCTTGAAGTATAACTTCTAATATTGAAGGATAACTTCCTTATGGTCTAGCTATCCTTGGCTATAATCCCTGTGTTAGATAGCTGTGACATTGATCTGATCAAAAATATACTGACCAAGTTTATTAATTTTTAGATTAATAAATTTGTATATTATGTATAGTTAGTTATTTAATAATTATTCTTATTTTTAAGGTCAGAGTTTTCAACTTGTTGACGGGAAAACTAAGTAGGGTATTTGATGAATCTTTAGCACGTTTTAGTGAACTTCAGCAAAAAAAACAACAAATACCCAATATCGAATTTATTCGAAGGTAAAGCTTTTAGAGAATTAATTTAATGTTCCGTATCTAGTATTCCATATTATTTACTGTATTTCAGAATGGCAATTGAACGAGAGTTGGACAAAACAGAAATTTCACACACGGCCAATTTATGTTTTGACGAAAGTGGGCATTATTTATTTTATCCAACCATGTTGGGTGTGAAAGTTGTTAACATATTTAGTAACACATTGGTCAAAATTATTGGAAAACCTGAAAACTTAAGAGCATTGAGAGTCGCCTTATTTCAAGTCAGTACACAGCGTAAGATGTGCGTTTCATTCTAAAAATAATGATTTTATAAATTTTAATTCCAAACATATCCATAGGGTAAGGCTAAAAAACCAAAAGCAGCAGTAACATTAGAAATGGAAGCAGCAACAAATCCTACATTGGAATCTTCTTCAAGCGATCCTACGCTGTTTTGTACAGCATATAAAAAGAATAGATTTTATATGTTCACCAAGTAAGTTTTTTTCTAGTATTTATAGATCTTATTTTTTTTTAATGTTGCTAAAATGTAGGTACTAGGGAAGATTGTTAAAAAGAAGTTACACTTTAATACTCACAATAAAGTATACAATATTTTTTTTATTAATAAGTTAAACTTTTTTTGTTTTGCAGGCGTGAACCTGAAGATCTCAAAAGTATTGATGCTGATCGTGATGTATTTAATGAAAGACCTTCGAAAGAAGATATTATATCTTCAACTGAAGCTGCATGTAAGTTTATTTTTATTATTTTTATTAATTTTGTGTTTTTTTTTTTGGTCAAACACTCATTGCTGATGTAATGTTTAGGCTAGGCCTATTTACTTAATGCAATGTAAAACCTTAAAATAAAGCATTTATAAATACTAAAAAGTAAAAATGCAGTTTAAAATACAATACAAACGGAAAATAATATTTAAAAAATGCAACATTAAATTTTTTGTTACATAAAAACTTTCTTTTACATAAGCAAAGCTTAACAATAAATTAAAAAATTCACTTTCCTACAAATTCATATCCCTACTTACTAAATAAATATCAAAACATATTTTCTTTAAAAATAAAATTAGAAGAGGAAATCCATATCATATATTCATATGTAACATCCATGCTGAGTTGCATAAACAATTTAGACATTTAATGGTTCACTAAAAATGTAATGAACCAATCGCGGGCCACTAAATCTTGTTTAAGGAACCATCAGCTCAGTATTGATTCATTAAATGTTTTGTGCAACCTGGCAGTATGTTTTAGGTTTTTTATGAGTGGTCATTTATTTTTAAATTTTTATTGTATACTAAATTGTTATTTAAATTTGTTAAGGTATCCAACGATTATATGATACAGCTACTTTACACACTGTTTTTGGAGATATTCAAGTAGCACTGTTTAAAGAATGCCAAAAAACAGTTGAGAATTTCTGTGTTCATAGCAAAAATGGATATTACAATGGCAACATATTTCATCGAGTTATCAAAGGATTTATGATACAAACTGGAGATCCTACGGGTATACAATATATGTTTAATTTGATATTTTAGTACATCACTATTAACATTTATTAAAACCATTTTAGGTACTGGACTAGGCGGGGAAAGCATATGGGGTGGTGAGTTTGAAGATGAAATTCGTTCGCATTTAAAACATGACCGACCTTATACATTAAGCATGGCTAATGCAGGACCAAATACTAATGGTAGTCAATTTTTTATTACTCTTATACCTACGGTGAGTTCCATTTTTTTTTTATATTTAGTTAAATCATTACTTATTGTATTGTTTGGTTTGTTTTTAGCCTTGGCTGGATAATAAACACACTGTATTTGGACGAGTTACCAAAGGAATGGAAGTAGTACAAACAATTTGCAGTGCAAAAACTCACCCTAAAACCGATAAGCCTCACGACGATGTTCAGATAATTAATATCAGTTTGAAATAAATCAGTAACTTGAGTTTAAAATATTATGTATTTTATATTTTATATACATTTCTTAATTACTAAACCATTTTGTGTTTCAAATATGTCTCCAAAAAATTATTATTTTGCATAAACTATTTGAAATAAAAAAATCGAAATGTATTTATAGTATATTTTATCTTAAATAAATTACGTAACCATTTTGCCCAACCTAGTCTATTAGGCCTGTTAATTTGTAAAAATGATTGTATTGCGCCTATCGGTCAGATAATACAATTGATAAGCTCTCTAACTACATATGTCATGGTTGTTGTAATTAATAATAGGGTATCGTTGGGTTCTTTTACCATTTTATATCAGTGGCTATTACTTCTCCCCTTTGAAATGTCTTCCTTTATGAATTATGTGTTTCTACAAAATGTCTCTCTTCTGTAATATCACTTGTATGAGTTGTTATTTCTGAGAAGTTGCTACTGGCACAACCCACTAAGAAAGAATTCCGTATGCACTTCTGTCTTGTATTATAGGTACCACTTCAATTATATCATAATAGTTTTTTATTTTTGAAAATGTTAATTAGAGAATTGTACTCAAATAAAATGGCAAACTGTTTATAAATAATGAGTTGTTACACACACTAATAATAACATTTTCATAATTATAGCCACGATGTTAACAATTATTTAAGTAATGAAAGAGGAAAAGTTTATGAAGTAACACAATGTACAAACAAAAATACGACGCCCAACTACTGTTGTCAATAAGAATACATAACTTATTTTATATTGTAGACATTAATGTCAGCAACAATGGTGGATAAGCCTTAGAAGTAAAATATATGAAAATACTATATTTTTGGTCTGAAGATTTTCAATCACAAATAGAGCAATTTAGTAGTTTTTAAACATATTTCAAAAGAAACAATTTTTTTTTTTTTTTTTTAATTGATCATAAGCCCGGCAACTATGGCCATTAGCTGTATGGTGTTTTTGAACGTTGTATTGTCGGTAGGGAGGGAACACGTGTGTGTTGGGTTTTTGGCAGAATTTTCAATTTGGGCACCCGTTTGTATCTGCCATGCCCGGGTGGGGGATGGCGGCACTTGTTCTCCGGACATCGTGACTTGCCCGAAGAAAAGTGCCGCCCAGTGGCTGGGAATCGATCCGGCGTCGGCAGCGTCGCAACCGATGCCTTAGACCGCTCAGCCACCTTGTCCATCAAATAAACAATTATTAATTTAATTAAGTATAAATATGATCTTAGGATGTTGATTTTAATTTTGTTGCTGACAGTTGGAAGAACACATTCCAAACCACATGGTTGGTTGCAGTACTCTGGTGGAAAATCTCATACAGAACCATATAAACTTCATAAATGTTGTGCTAAAATGTAATGTTAATTGTTTACAATGTAGTCTCTACTAAAGGACATTTTGTAAGATACTTTAATAAATACTGTTGTACTTTATTATGATTAAACAATTTTAGTAAAATAAATATATAATAATATACATATTAAAAAAAAAGAACAGGTTTAAAATGTCTAACAAAGTAAAAATGCTACCAAAATATGAATAAATATTATTTTTAAAATTCATATTAATATCGAAATAAATGTCTTTTAGTAACTATTGAATGCTGACGAGCAAAACCAAATTTACGATTAATTAAAATAAATACACGAAAAAAATAAAAATATATATCAGTAAACTTAATGTGTTTTTTACTCCATCGGCACATCTTCAGGAGCAGCAGGTACATTTTCATTGCCTTCAGAGTCTTCTACTTGTGCCTTCTTTTCATATATTACTTCTGTCGATCGAACCACCCCTGCCTCCAAATCTAACCAACGGCCTTTCACTGCATTTTTGGCAGGTGGAGACCACCAGTTAACTATGTTCCCAAAAACTGGTACATGTCTTAAAATGCCTTCTTGCCATATTTTTTCTTCGGTTTCTTTTTTTAAGTCTACAGTCGCAGTTTCTATACCTAAAGAATTATAAACATTTTTGAGTACTAGATTTGGTGGTTATCAGTATTTGATTTCATCAGGGCCAAAAGCCGTTCTCTTACAAATGATAAGGGGAAAAAAAAAATAATAATCTCATACCAACATTACCAACCGATAAAAATGTCAATGTTCAAAATAATAATTTAATATCAGTTTTAGGGCCAGCCTGTAGTAAATGTACTTTTTTATTAATGTATTAACTTAGATCATATACTAGAATACTAGTATATGATCTAAGTGTATTAATGTATCAATTGTATCATCTTTATTATCTATGGTATTAATGTACTTTTCTCTAACACCTGTTGATTAATCTAATGAGTAATTAGGATTAATTAATTAAAATTAAAATTCAACCGCCAAATTACAAAAAAATGGCGAAACAGAAATCCAATACTTATATCTATAATAATGACTAACGACCACGATTAAAGTTATCTTTAATCGTGCTAATAACTAATGAGATATTATTATAATTATTTGGGACTTGGGTTTATTTTTGAACTTATAAATAAACTATAGAGTATTTTTAAACGCATAAACAAGATTATTCCAATACAACAATAATAACTGAACATTGCATGAATGATGAATGTTTTGTGGCATTTCATACCAATTATGACACTAATTAACAGTTATAACATTTAAATAATATTATGTCTTGCATTAAATAATATCTTTATAGAAAAATTATACAATATTGCAATTATTGCATTATTGTTACTTACTGCTTAGTAGTTAGTACTTTGTAATATTTTTATATGATCGAAACTTTAACAATAATAGAATTTATGATAATGTTGGTAATGTCTTTATGGTACATAATGGTACAGGGAATTTATGTTTTAGTATTGGTAAACATGATCCGATAAATTTTTTCTTTTTTTTTCCGAGTTCTTATCAGCTGTAAGAGAACGGCTACACACTCATTTCATCATACCTTTTTTAACGAGTTCGGCCATTGAATCAATGTATTTGGTAGACTCTTCTTCTTTACGCCCAGTACTTTGGACTAGAGACAACAATTCTGCTACATCTGTGTCAGCCGTGACCATACCAAAACGAACACAGGCCAATCCATCACTTCCTTCCCCTGAATATACAGACCAATTGGTTCAAAACACTAGTCGTGTAAAAACATGTATTTACTAGTTGGCTTACCTAACGAAAATGCAGCGTCAATTGAACGAAGCTGCTGCACGATACGTACATTTAGTCGATTCAAATCTTGTTTTGCCTGATCAGTGGCCAATTGCTGGTCGGACGATTTCCATAGTTGTGGCACGTACCGTACAGCACCAAGTCCTGCCCAGTCATCGATTTCGACATATTCTAATGATGGCAGATTGGCTATTAGTCCTGTTAGTTTTTCTTTATAATCAACTGTTGCTAGCAAAATTTCCTATAAAAATAAATGAAACAAGTAACAAATGTTTTGATTGTTATTTTGCTTATAAATGAATATTATACTAACAATGTGTTGATCCAAACATATGCTAAATGTTTCCCAATCATCTTCAGTTACTAGTGAATTTAAAACAGTAAAAGGTGAAAACGTTACTACAACACCGAGGGTCTCAATTTCACACAATTCTAGAGGTGCTTCTGGAATTTCTCGCTCCAGCACTTGGCCTAACTGAAACAACAAATGAATATGCCAACACATCTCCTGATTATGTAGAAATATTTCTTACCCAAGAATTTAGTTTATCGTAATAAGGAGAAACTCTTTGGTTACAGTCTTTTGGTACAAATTGGATGACAAGACAACTCGATAGATTGTGTAATAGATCCTAAAAGTAAAAATAACTAATATTAATACATTCTGTTTGAATAAGGATGAGAAATAATAATAACTCAACTGGAATATTCTCTCGGTTGGCAATAATTTCAGCAACCGTTTCCTCATTAGACTCACCGTTTTGGTCATTAGTTTCACACTGAATAAAAAAAAAATAAAACATTATTTGTTGCCAATAAAAAAAATTGCCATTACTACCAAAATCCTCAGACAGTCATAACGTTTAACCAAACTATGTATGCGTTGACAAATTTCAAATTTTTGTTGTATCCTTAGTACAAGCGCATCATGACCTAAAGCCTGAAAATAGATACTTGTCTTAGTGTTTTAAAATGATGAAATAAAAAAGTACTTAACTATTAATACTAACTTGAAAACACGTCCAAATAGGTAAACATTTACTCTTGTAAATATTCAATATATCTGTACTTGTATATTGTTTATCAAATAAAGTCTAACAACTATATTTAAGGAAAATAAGTTGAAATATGCCTATGGATTATAAATAGTAATCGTATTGCATTAAAAACTCAATACATTTAAAGAAAATAGAGAACTTTTTTTAAATTTAGTAAAAATATATTTTATATTAATTGTTGTATACAGTTGCAAAGATAATGAATAACTGTATGATATAATTATAATTATTTCCATCTTTAAAAGGATACAATTACGGGAAGTGCAGAAATATTCAACCAAATGCTTGGAGTTAATGTCATACTATCGGCTAGATTAGTACTCTGAAAAATGGAAAAAATAATCAGTTAGTAAAAACTCTTAATATTATTATGACTAGAATTATTTAAAATACTTTAGTTTTAAATGTTGTCAGAGCCAGTGCTGATAAATTGTCACCAGATAAGTGTAACCAAATATTGTGTTTACTGCATAGTTCTTTTAGGTTTACGATATCATCCATCTGACCAGTAACATGAGCACCTGATATAAAAATTACAAGCATTAAGATTAGCGTAAGCCAAACATAAAACCTAACTTATTACCTGCTCTTGCAAAAACAATAAGAGGTTTTCTGTGGTTTTCAACATCAGTTGTGATGATTGTTTCTAATGCTCCTAAGTCTGCTTTGTAAGGGCACAGTACATTTGATAGAGATGGTATAATTTGTACACATTTTTCATTCATTCCAATCTATTATAATTCTATTAATAAGTATTGTAATTGAAAAAAAAACTAACTGTCAACTAATTTGTATTACTTGTAAAGCAGTTCTCTTTATCGTACCAACCAATACTGGATCTGGAGTACAATAAACTATTGGAAATTCAGATAGATTTAAGTATTCTGGACCAAACATACGGTGCATAGCAAGCAGTATTACTCTTTCATAACTTAATAACATATTTTCTGTATAAAATGCCCCACAGTTTGAAAATCTAAATTTAAGATGAAATGGTTATTAAAATATAAAAGCTGTAAACAATTAAAAATATGTGTTAAATGTATGTTTATACTGACTGAAATAATTTTGATATCCACATTGTCGTAGACTTGTTGACCAAAGACAAAACGGGCACAGTCTGTTCATTGGGTAGACAGTGACTAATGTAATAGCTGAGAGAATATGACGTCAAACTGAATTTGTCCAGGTCTTGAAGAACTGGAAGGGTATTTTCTTCATAACCCTCTCCGTTTTCTTTCTTGTTTTGACTTAACACCAGAGTCTATGACAATAACAAATGCTTGATAATAACCATACAATAGAAAATTAACATACCCTAAAAACATACTTGTAATGATGCCAGAATATCACAGAATGTCTTAGAACCCAAAGGCAGGGTATGGGACGTCAACTGGGTGTTTAATTGGTTGTTGTCCAGATTATCCAGAGTATAATTGAACTGTTCACTTAAGTCCACAAAAGGAGAATGTTCTACCTTTAATTTAAAAACAAAACATAACAATGAACTTTAACACAGATCAGTGAAGAGAAGGTGCTGTGTAATTATTTTAATAAATAAATCTGAACCTTGCTTTAACCAAAATTCAGGAGGCAACTATAAATCTAGGTACAGTTTTGTAAGCCAGTTTGATAAAATAATTTTGGTGGCCTCTAAAAATGCATTAGTAGTGTGTCCCTAAAGATCAATATCGGGCGTACGCTAATTTTTAACAAGTCGCCCTTTCTGATAGCGTTGGTATCAGATATATTATATAATATTATGTCCACGATGCAAATGACGGAACGAAAGAATCGCAAATCCATACAGAAGCAAGACAACTCTGTCGTTAGTCGGGGCTTGTCTTTCTTGTCATAAGTTCAAGCAGACTTACTTCGTGATCCGGGACTTGGACGTCAGATTTCGTCTCGGTGACGGCGTCGGGTGATGACATGATGTCGGCGACGCTTTCGTTGAATCGTACAGACAACGTCAACAGCAACAGCAACGGATGCAGTAAAAACGAACAGAATAATATCGACGTGTCGTCGTCATGTGTGTGGGGCGCGCGATGATATTACACGTTAGTACGGTATACGGTGAAATTAATACGCTCGTTATTTGAATAACAAATCAAAGCAACGGCAGTGTTGGGTACAACCGAAATGATTTATGTAGAACAGTGCATTGACAATTTAACATACGTATAATATTATGATTTTACTCATTTTATGTTATATTACTCATATTAATAATATTGTTATCGTGATTCGTGAATTCAAAAGTGTTTGTGGTACGTATTGATATTGATAACGGTGTATTGATAACGTAGATTATTATCTACACGCGTACCGGCCGTGGTCATGGTATATGGTATGCGAAGACAATTTTATGGTATTTCATCTATTCTGTGGTATGATCACAGAATATTATGTGAAAATAAAATATAATTTTCATTTAATCAGTGGTATGAACCACGGACTAAGATATACTATATCTTAGTCCGTGCCCCGTGGTATGAACTAGAGTGCCTTGATAGAGAGGTTCTCTATCAAGGCACTCTAGTATGAACAAGGGCCAAGGCCCAAGGGGGATTGATCAGTGATCAGTCCACCTTGGTATGACCACAGAATTGATAGAATTGGCATAATTCTAGTTTAGCAACCTATCGATTTTTTAGGTTTTGTTTTTTTTAAAATATGTGTTTTTAGGTGCTTTATAAGAATCTAAAATAAAAAAAGGCCGGACGGACTTCGTTTGGAAGTTACGGCCTTCCAAAGTTTGCGATTTTACGTTTATACGCATGTGCGCAACACTACTATAAGCGCAGTGACGAGTGCCGCAAGACGTGTTATCACATACTATTACTATACATTATACAACATAACTTTATTTGTCTGAATACAGTGTGTTTATGGATTATAATATAAACTGAAAACTTAGATTAGGTAAATTAGCCTAAATAATATACCTAATATACCCAATTAAAATAAATAATAAATAAATACTGTAAAAATGTTAAATATATTTGATACTAATTTTAAATTTATAGTAATTATATGCAAATATATGCAATTTTCTTAACCCTGTGACCCACTTGGGGAGGTGTTGCACAGCAAGTCGGGGGATATTTTCGATTTGCGGAGCGGAGCGACGGCGCCGAGGAGCGTAGCGACGAGTGCCGCTAGCACCGCATCACTGTACGATGTTTTTTCAAATTGGTGCCTTGGTGCAACAAAAATGATATTTTCTCAACCCTGTGACCCACTTGGGGAGGTGTTGCACAGCAAGTCGGGGGATAAATTATTATTGTACCATCGTTTTAAACAGGTTAGAATACGTAAGTACTAAGTACAAAAAAATAACAAAAATAGTCCTCCGCGTGGCATTATAGTAGTGTTGCGCGCATGCGTATAAACGTAAAATCGCAAACTTTGGAAGGCTGTAACTTCCAAACGAAGTCCGTCCGGCCTTTTTTTATTTTAGATTCTTATAAAGCACCTAAAAACACATATTTAAAAAAAAACAAAACCTAAAAAATCGATAGGTTGCTAAACTAGAATTGTTCCATAGAATTATTATTAATTAATTTACAATTTTAATTTACTGTATATTATTTAATTGCAAGTTATTATTAATTATTATAATAAGTTATTAATAATCATTGTAATAAATTATTACAATCAATGCGCCATGTGATTTACGGGGCAACGGTGGCTAAAACCAAATACTATATACGATAATACAGGACACTGGCATATAAAAACTGGCGAATTATTTCTTATCATTGCCCCGCGAGATTGTTAAAGTAGTTGCCTATTTTACTCCTTGAAATGTTTATAAATACAAATTAATTTAGAACAACGATTTCATTTTATTGTTTATTTTCTAATGCCAAATGCCAATCAACGATTATAATTTTTAATTAGAAATATTAAATTATTTAGATTTTAGATTATATAGTATTTGCATATTTACACATACTTAAGTATAAGTTCATAAATCCTATTGGGAAATACGATACCTAAACAATATAATGTTAAATGTAAGCTTTATAGTAGGTATTAATTAAATGTAATTCAAAACATATATTATACTTATATATTTTACTTTTTTCATAATAATTATACAACAAAAATCAAAATATGAAATTATAACATAAGTGCTTAAAACTGATGGTGCTTAAAACTGAATATCTCTTAATAATAATTTTTCAATTAAATAAACATTGTACTCAAACGTGAACTACTTTTTTCAACTTTTTATTTTTTCAACATTTATATTGGTTGAATCATTGCATTTCTTCACATAGCAATTAATACTCACATTTAAAAATTTATCCAAAAATTGAGAATTGCAGTCTTCACATATACTTAGTGAGTACCTTTTACAAATATGGCTTATAATAAGTTTAAGATCCTTTTTTAAATTACATTTTTTTTTTAGAATAAGGTTTTCAATGTTTGCATGAAAAAGTGCAGAAACATGTTTAGTTAATTCCAATGTTTTGGCAAGAGGATAAAGTAAACTGCAGCCATCAATTCCTACCGAGGAACTTGATAAATGATAATATTTATGATAAAAAACAAACAATATTACTATAATATTAGTAATTTAGTATTATAATAATATAATCGTATATAGTATTTGCAATTAATATTCAAAAAAAGCGGGAATTTATACCAGATTAAGGGGTAAAATAGGCAACTTTTATAACAATCTCGCGGGGCAATGATAACAATTTGTTCGCCACTATTTTAATACAGAGTGTCCTGTATTATCGTATATAGTATTTGCTAAAACATACACACTGTTGGTGTAGGCATTTCATCTATTCTATGGAGGAGGAGTAGGTGTACCTATATAGATACCTACGTTAATTGTCAGTCCATAAAATATTAATTATTATTTATATATTATTGTTGGGAGTGTCTTAAATTAATACACGAAAGCTTTTGGATTTTATCATACACATTTATTTAAAAAATTTAAAAACCTATGCACGAATATGGAATCTTTACTAATATATAAAGAAGAAAAGTTGTTTGTTCGGGGTAATTTATTTATTTATTTGCAATATATATGTATACGGCCATAATCTCTGGAACTACTAAACTGATTTAAACATTTTTTTTTACCATAATTAAGCTGTTTACACAATAATAGCTTGCCAATGATCAATAGGCTATATTTTATCTCGCTAAATTTTTTTATCTAATTAAAAAAATATTTTCCCGCTACGCTCCAAAATTAGGATCTTTATAATATTTTACATGTAATAATATAATAATTTTTTTTTTTTTATTGATCTTTAAAGCCCGGCGACTATGGCCATTATAGTTGATTGTGGGGTTTTATGATTGTAGGTAGTAGGGTTTGTAATGGTGGGGTTCTTACACGTGTGTGTTGTGTTTGGCAGAATTATATATTATGGATTTAGTATACCTATAATAATAATAAGTTTGTAAGTACTTAAATTTAAATATTTATAGACACTATTGTGCCTAATTTTCTAATACATAAGTACCTATATTACCTATATTTTGTTATTTATTATTTTAATGTGCAGGTACCTACCTAGGTTTCGGTAAAGCACGATTGAGCGGGCAAACGTAAATTGCGCCCAACGAAGGGAAACAATTCTAAATTGCGCCCGGTATTTTTCAGGTATAAATTTATGTGTAGTAAATTGCGCCCGGTATTGTTCATGTACAAATTTCTGTGTAGTAAATTAGATAGAAATATAGAAATATTATTTTTATGATTGTCATTTAGAGACTCAATACACTTTGTTTCACGGTCTTAGATAATGCTTAGCTTTGTTTCACCCGAAGACAACTCACTTTTAAATTTTAAAATATTACCTATACGTAAAGTCGTTGTACCTATATATGCGTAAAGGCATTGAATATTGATATCGCCAATATGATAAATATATCGATTATTAGTTTTTGATTATTACTTTTAAAATAAATTGTGAAAAATACATTTTAGATAATATATTTAAACATCTAAATCCTAAGATATTATGGTATCGCATATTCGCATGTATAAAAAATAAATAAATGAATAATGATAAATAAGTAAATGCATAAAAGTTAATATATTATGATTTATTGATTTATGCGTTATAAAATTATAAGGTACCTAACAATTGAAAGTGAATTTAATGTTACCATTTGTAAATCCCTGTGGCAATGTGGCATTGGGATTGTTATACAATTATTGAAACGGAATGGGCTCCGGAAATCTGTTTGCAGCACCTCAAATTTCAGTTTCATCATCTTCACCGTCTTCGCCGTACAGTAGTTGTCAAATTTGGATTGTTTTCTCAATAGCTTAATTCGATTCGAATCCTTTCCTCTGGTCTAAAACTAATTGTCCGTGTTCCTTGTAGAATTTAATGAATTTTATTTCAGCCAAAATGTCATTCTCTTCATTTCTAAATGGACAATGTAATGTCACAATTTTCTTCCTTATCTCGTGAACACCTTGTTTGTTTTTGTTGTATATAGAAACGAATTGTGTCAAAGTAACATCTTTTAATTCATCAGGTCGTTTCTGGTACTTCTCAAACCAATCTTCATTCTAAAATTCTGCCGAATTGTCGTTCCTTACTTTTTTTTTAGTCTTTTTTATTTCATTTGGCTATATGGTGTTAATGTAAATGACACTTATTACTTATACACATCAAGTTTTCTAAGTAAATACCAAGCAGCCTCTTAACTATATTTTGCATGTCCACTCTCATTTTTCCTGTGATATCTACGATGTTGAATCCTGGATTCTCATCCATCGTTTGTATAAAGCTGTACGCTTACATACGGTATATATACTTATAAACAATCAATTATTTATAAATATTATATGTACCTAAGGCTATAAGTACCATACAGGCGGGTTTTCTTTGGTTATGAATTTAATTTTTAAAGTAAAATTATATCAAAACTATCG